TACTTCACGACAGTTAAAAGACTCATTTGTAAGGAAAATGCGCTTATAAAGCACAACTTTCAACATCTGAGACGTACATAAAACACTTGTCTGAACAGTTAAGACGTAAAATTTGGAATATGGAATCTAGAAATTTTTATGAAACATGCTTCAGAACATCAAAAATCTCATGTCAATAATATAAAAGCCTTGAAAAATTCTTAAAAAGTAAGAAGATACGAACAAAAATATCTTTAGAACATCGGAAAGCTTGTTGTGGAAGCTTGAATGGTAGAAAATGAAGGCCATGAACTCTTTTAAAGCATGTGGAAAACAATACAATATCTGGAAAGCTCACACTCGAACTAGAAAACAAGCATAATCCAACAAATAACTCTACGGATGATCTGAATAGCTATTGTAGATACTTAAATGGAATACTTTCATACTTAAAACATTCATTTTAACTTCTAGAAAACTGTCTTTGAAAAATAGTACTCATAAGACTCAAATAAGGGTTACTCTAGGATAACTCAAAATACCTCCTAAGAGTTTAATAATTATAACGCTCTAATAAAATACGCATCACTCATAACTGAAGTGATCTAGTTAGGAACAAACATTTCTCATAACATCTCAAAAGTTATTATTAATTGAATTATATATATTTAGTTAATGTTTAGAAACTCTCGTGAAATATTAAAAAAAATATAACAAATTTTGTAACGCTGTTTTAAAATTAAAAGAAGTTTCCAATATAATAAAAAAGCACCTTTTTTAAAGGCTTCTTGAGTATAGGAAAACTTGGAAACACCAACAGTCAATTTTTCAAAACATCTAAAGTGCTATCTTAGAAGCATTTAACGTAAAATACAACCCCTAAGAAAATAACTAGCCATATTGAATAAAAGCATGCTTCGGGGCAGCTGTAAAACAGTCTAAGAAACATATTATATTGTCCTCTTATATAATAGGACAATATAATCAGTAAGTAGTTGGATGCCTCAAACTCTCAAAAAAAAAGTCTCGCTAGGATAGAAAAAATCGAATGGATCAAAATATTGATACATTATTACATATGATTTCAAGCAGTAAAGAATTGTAGACTCTTTGGAATCTATAAAACTTGGAACAAAATGGTTTTATGCCGCGACTCTACAGGACGTAGGTTAGAAAATAGTCGCAAAAAAATACATCTGAGCATACAAAAGTTTATGCCAGCTGCCAAATATATGGTACCAAATATTTAAAACAAATAAAGTCGATTAATAAAGAGTGTTTTAAGGTACAAATTTCATTGCAAAAGTAAAAGTAGTAGAACTTTGAAGTCTGGTGCTTCAAAATAAGAAAATGTCAGGTTTCTTATGCTGCCTATAGGCACATGACGTGCCTAAAAAAAAAAATGAATTCCGAGCCATAAACTACATACATACTTACAGCGTAAATTAGCGAAGGTTTACTTAAAGCGGTCATAAATGGAAACCATATTAAAATATATCAAAGAAAACTATTGCAATTTCATAGACTATTTGAAACTATCTCTCGTTTAGCGAATTTTTTTTCAGAAAGTTAGGTTAAGGTGACTGTTGGTTTAGTCTTATACAAATTATTATGCAATCTGCATTAGAAAAATATCGATAAACTTTTGTTTTCGATTCAATTATGAATTTTAATGCTTGATTCTATAGTAAATGAAACTTTTTTGAGTGAAAAGGTTTTGAGTGAAAAGTTTCATTTATACAATTATAGGTTAACTAAAGTTCATGCAACACAATACAATTGGCCAAAAATTATGCTAAAACATTGAAATTTAATTTAACACGCTTTAGAGTCATATAAAGATGAGCTTTACGTAGCTGATCCCCTTTTATGAAAGACATTTGGTACTTTTTCAGATGTTCTCGATGCTAACTGATTTGATACTGCTATGAAACTTTGTTATTAAAGTTGACAAAAATTGTTAATTTGAAATTAATTTAGATGAAATTTATTTATGGTCTATATTTTGTACGCATTGGTTATATAAAGTAAGATAAGGTCTGACATAAGTATACATAGACTGTTACAGATTTATTTTTGATGCGTTAAGAATGTTGAACCTTCTTTTAATTATAATTTCTTCTCTTTTCAGAAATAAAAAGTGATAAGTGAAAAGTGTTGTGTGAAAAGTGGTACAGTGTATTAAAAGCAAAGTGTTAAAAAAAAGGTAGCAAGTGAAGTAAGAGCAGAAAATGAAGTGAAAATGAAGAAAAAGGTGTTTTGTGTTAAAAAAAAATGTCTTAAGTGAAAAGTTTTAAAAAGTGCTACGTGAATAATGCTTCAAGAAAACATAACCTCAAATTGCGGTAACCAGATTTTTCAACGGTGGTACAGCTCAGTAACGCTTGGAAATGCCTGCAGCAGCTATGTAATGTAAGTGCCAACTGATTTTCTTTAAATTATTGTTATACTTCCACAGAAAATTCTATGTTTATTCAATTCAATAGACAACCGAAGTACATAAACTGGAAATTGAAGCAATTTTATATAGAAAATTTACAGATCTCTTGATATGCCGAGCTTTTGCGTCACACTAACAAACCGGTTCGCATACTTCGGCAAGCCATTTGAGACAATTATTCCACTTATGCATCAAGCTTATGTTTTACAAGCCTAGGCTACAACTGCCAGTATGTATGTGCGTGTGTATGTTTGTACTTATGTTGTGCATCACACTCAAATCCACTTTGATTAATCATCTGCCTTGTGTGTATAAAGCGCCTATAAAATGCATTATTTCTCAAGAACAGCCACCCCACCACCATATTGCCGCATACCGGCTGTCATTTGCAGTGACGAACAGACGACGGGGTTGTTTGTGTTCCTCTCGTAGGCACTAGGCACTTAAGGGGTGTGTGGCGGTATGACACCGAACACGCAAAACACTTTTTTTTACAATAAAGTATATACATATATATTATTTGTATTAAATTCACGCCATCTCCACGTTAGTATTTTCGAAGTACGCCATTTACCGACGGCAAATGGTGTAAAGCGTTGAAGAACACTAGAGCGGCGTTACGTGTATTTGAAGTGTGCAAAAAGCTGCTGCAAGTAACGGTGGCGTGGCAAAATCAAGTAGCCATAGCAGCCTAAATTTCCACTGAACAGCTGAGCTTTCTAAAAAATTTTAGACATAACCTCAAAAATACGTGCTGAAAGTGCAGTAGTGTATGTATAACAGTACTAGAGGTAAAATGTTTGGTTATAAAAGTCATGTAAACACACTTGAGCGATGACATTTGCTATATTAGATTCAGCTTTTTAAGTTTTTCAAGCATAACCTCAAAAATGACGAGATGAAAAATTATTAGAATGCAACATGGCTTAGCAAAAACAACTAAAGAGTTACAAAAATTGTATAACGGTATTAGAAACTACCTTCAGATTCACTAATCTAACACAATTATTATCTTTTTTCACATAACCTCACAATTCGTAGCAGAAAAGCATTGAAGCATAAGTATAGGGTGTTATAAAGCTTTCTTAAAATTTTTTACACATAACCTCAAACAATTACTCGACGAAAAACATTTTAAAATGAATATATGACAACTGAAATAATATCTAGCGTTGAAAGAATCGCTTGAAAAGTCTAACTGGCTATTATCCAGCTTGAAATGTTACTTTCTTCAAATTTTCTACACATAACCTCGAAGAATTTCTCGAAGAAAAGTATTTCAAAATGAATATATGAAAACTGAAATAATATTTAGCGTTGAAAGAATCGCTTCAAGAGTCTAACTGGCTATTATCCAGCTTGAAATGTTACTTTCTTCAAATTTTCTACACATAACCTCGAAGAATTTCTCGAAGAAAAGTATTTCAAAATGAATATATGAAAACTGAAATAATATTTAGCGTTAAAAGAATCGCTTGCAGAGTCTAATAAAAATTTTTACACATAACCTCAAAGAATTACTCGCAGAAAAGCAGTTTAAAATACTTACATATATGGTTACTAAGTGATCTTTTAATATCCGCAAAGTTCCTAGAAGCGTCTAACTGTGAACAACGTAGTCCAAAGTTCACTTACGGTTCACTTTCTATGCTTTCTCTAACACCTAACCTCAATACTATGCGTTAAGTACACTTTGGAATAAATATAAAGTTATCGAAGAATTTCGGAGAACCTTCTTTTATCCATAACTGCACAAATTACTCGAGCAAAAATGTTTTAGAATACACAGAAGCTGCAAAAAGCACTTTTCCATCGAACGAATAATTTCAACACGCTAATAGGGTTCAAATTCACCCCTAATTTCACTCTCCATATTTCTTTTTTTTGCACATAAACTCACAAATAACTCGAGCATAATCGTTTTAGAATACATACACGTTTACTGAAGAGCGCTTCGAATCGGTAGAATCACATCTATGCACTAACGAGGTTAAATGCAACCTCGAATTCCATTTTCAAACATTTTTGCACCAAAATTTTAACCCTGAAAAAATTACTGGCACAATCTAACGGGCTAAAATTTCAGTTCTTGCGTTTTCTACAATTTTTCTTACACATAACCTTAACTGGTATATTTTAAGTACATATAAGTTTACTGAAGAGCTCTTGAACCAAATTCTCCAGCCGTTAATGAGATTCAATGCAGTCCCAACTTGTACATACTAGATTATTATTTTGACACATAACATCACAAATTAATTGGGAAGAACGTTTTAGAATTCGTACGGAAAAGCTACAAGGCTCGGAAATATTCTTCAACACAGTATAGGGGTCCACGCAGCCTCATACTTCACTTAGCTGGTATTTCTCTAAGCTCTACGGCACATAACCTCGCAAGTTATTCGTAGAGAAGCAACCTACAAAATAGTTTTAAGCTTCGGAGGCATTTTTCAACGCAGTAAAGGCGTCCACGTAGCCTTAAATTTCACTTATTTGATATTTTCAAAGAGACTTCTATACGGAACCTCACAAATTTCTGACACTAACTTATTTTATTTAGGATAATAATGATTTGTTTGACTTACCGTCCACTTTTGGTGATCACCATCTCCGTGCCCAGCTTGTGGAACTTCTCCCACAAGTCCTTGCCCTCCAGCGTCACCTTCGGATCGTCAACGACACCATCATCTTCGGGTTGTAACGCACGCAACGGTCTCATCGCCGGATGCAATTGATGCGCCACAGCTGATGCGAGCACCACGTCCTCAGCGGTGGTATAAGGTGTGCCCAACGGGTGATGGGCGTGTGGATGATGAGGCGGGAAACGCAGACCGGCCGGATATAGACCGGGATGTGGACCAGCCGGACTGCCAGCGAGCGCAGCTAATGCGGCCGCAGGAAAATAGGCCTGTTGCGGCAGGTGTGGCCCCAAAGCGTGGTGACCGGGCACCGGCGAGTGATGTGGATGCTGTGGCGCTGGCGGTGGCGGTTGTGCGGGATGTGCGTGCGGATGCGGCGGCGGTTGACGATGCGGCGACAAATGTGGTGATGACAAATGTGACGCGGCTGGATGAGCTAGTGGCTGTTGTGACGACAAATTATTGTTGCTACTTTGAGGATCGTTGTTGTTGTTATTACTATTAGTTGTGGTGGGTGTATTGCGGTTGCTATTGTTGCTATTATTATTGCTGCCCGATTTGCTGCCAATGCCAGCGCTAGTAGTATTATTGTTATTGCCAGGCGATAAGAGTGGCGGCTGTTGGCCACCGACCGGTGATGCTTGACCGGCGCCGCAAAGCAACTGCTGTCGATGGTGCTGTTGCTGTTGCAAATGCAATTGCTGTTGCTGCTGTTGGTGTTGTTGCAAGAGTGCTGCCGCACTAGTGGGTGTAGTTGGTGGCGCTTGCTGCTGTTGTGGCTGTGCGGGTGAGGTGGCCGCACTCAAGACGGTATTACCGCCGCCTGCACCTAAATCACCGGCTGCTGCTGCGGCGGCGGCGGCGTTACTAGCCTGTTGTGCCTGTGTGCCCGCCGTCAACAGCGACGACACGCTGAAGTCAGTGGGTCGGGAGAGTTGCAGAAATGGATGATATGCCATCCCATTTGCAAACCTGGCGAATGGATCCTCAGCAGACTGATGAAGCAACTCTTGAACGTCGTATCTCATTACATTACACTTTCCAGCAACAGCGGGGATATGCAAAAAGCGCGTCTACTTAGCAATTGCCAGCCACACGCAATGCGGCAATATTGCGTAGCAAGTGGTACAACGGTTTCCGAGCGCGGCTTTTTGCTGGCTCTTTTTTTTTTGGGGGGGAGGTTTGGAGTCTGACAGGCGCCTACAAATCGGCAGCTAGATTTTACTAGGTTACTAGCTCACGAAAATTCACTTTAAAGCTTTATTTAAGCTATTTTTCTTTGCCACAAGTTGTGCGCTTTCACTTTTGGTCGCTTTTTGCTGCTCTGCCTTGCCACTTTTTCGCACTAAGCTTGGCTCGCTGCTTATTTAGTTTTAAATTTTTAGCGTAGCATCCACTTTTTCTTGCTTAGCTCGCTTAAAGCTTGGTTTTAACGACTTTCGTCACTGGACTCCTCTGCAACCGCTGTTATGGAGCGCTATTTTTAGTGCTTAAAAGCTTTACTATTTCACTGCACGGTCTTTCTACGCTTTTCACTTAGTCTCCCGACTTTTCAACAAAATGTTGCTGCCTTAAAGCACTAAATGCCGCCTTAGACCTCTGATTTTCTATTTATAAGCGCTCTTCTTGGACTTTTTTTGTAGCAATCTATATATCCGACGCCGCTTTTGTCACCACTTGCGGCCGACTTTGCTTTGCTTTCTGTATATTTATACAACTCTAGGGTAAATTTTCCTCTTCAGTTTAATTTTTTCACTTCGATATTGAAATTTTTGTATTAAATTAAAATTTTTTTTTAATTTTTAAATTTTAATTTTTGAAGTTTTCAAAACCTTGTTTTTCAAATTTATGAAGTTTTTGTAATTTTTTAAAACTTTTTTAAAATTTATTTATTTATTTACACTTGTTATGCACTTTCCACACGTTTATATTGTTGTTGCAATTGTCTGCTGCTGTTTTGTTGTATTTATTGTTGCTTTAATGCTTACACAGCTGCTTGCAACACGTTTAGTAAGGTTTCAAAACACAGTAACTGTTTTTTATGCACTTTATATTTGCTTGCAACACGGCTAAAATTGTTGCAAAACACTTAGATTTAGTTAAAACAAGTTTATCCGCATTTTATTTACATTTTTTAAATTTTTATACATTTTTTTTGTTTAAATATTTTTTCGCACGTCTGCTAATATTTTGCTGTCATCACACTAATTTACACGACGCGTTCACAGTTTGAATTGCACTTTCCGCTAGCTTTTTGAGTTATGCACAAATTTTTTAATTTTTAAAAATATTTTTTACAAAATTTTAAAATTATTGTAAAATTTTTTAAAATTCTTTTAACATTTTCTGAAAAATTTTTGTATTTTTTTTTAAATGATTTAATTATAATTTTTTAAATTATTTATATTTTTTTTTTCAAATATTCATAATTTTTCCATTTGTATAATTTTTTGTAAATTTTTTAATAATTTTTGTTATTTTTTAATGAGTTTTTATACACAGTTAGTTCGCACTTGCACTTAATTCGCCGCGCTTGCTTGTTTTTGCGCTGCGCCCTTGTTTATTTGTTGTTTGGCCGCGGCAGCTTTTCCAATTTGACTGTAAATTGAAAGTTAAAAATTAGTAAACATCCATTTAATATTAATTTTTGTACTCTCTACACGGTTTTATTTCGCATTTTGCGGCGAGCGCAGTTTCATGCGACGCGTGACAGTTCCGGCGGCTTTACGTTTACGCCCTCAAGTGTCTCAGTGTCAAGACGAGAGCGCTGTGTGCGCGCTTTGCTTTAGAGAGTTTTGCAACTATTTTTTTTGTGAAAATAAAATATTTCGGCGTAAAAATGCAAAAGCGCGTTTTAGCGGCGGCTAAACAATACATAATATTTCTATGAAACGCACACGACGACGATGATTTGAAAAGCGTACTTGCTGCACACGAGAAATCGAGTAAGAATTTTTTTGAAAAGGCGAGTGAACCAGCGCACACAATTGCGAACGAAACAGAAAAAAAACAACACTATTTTAACTTTCAATATACACACTGGCAGCCGAGATACGCACTACACGCCGGTCGCTTGCAAACTGGAAAATACACGTACTCGCCGAAGCGGCGCAACCCCCCAAAAACCAGTCTTGTACAGCGCACGTAGCGCAGCGGCAGCGGCGAGGAGAGTGTAGAGCGCGCTGGCAAACGTATTGGCAGCGCAGGGCACAGCGGCGTTTGAATGTGTGTGTGCCAGCGCGCAGCTGAGCCAGCAACGAGCGAGTGGCGAGCGCCTGGTCTACACGAGCGCGCAGCAAACGAGCGAGTTGCTTGAGTTGTGTAGGCAAGCACTTATAGTTATAAGCAGCGCGCTGACGCCGACGCGCGCGGCTGTAGCAACTGCAGCGCTGTAAAGCAGCAAGGCTAATAAGAAGCGCTGGTGTATGGCATAGCTGGCGAGCAAAATAATCAATTGAAATCAGAAACCGGTATGCCTGTGCGGCTGTGTGTATTGGTCTTATTCGTCGTTTATTCCAATAAGAAGCAGCGCGCGTTGATGTGTTTGTCATGGCAGCAGCGCCGCAAAAAAGCGTTAGGGCTAACAAGAATGGTGACACCAAAGCGCCAAGATACGTAGTAAGAAAACGAAAAATGAAAAAAAAAAACAAAAACAAGCTAGCTATTTGCACTAGCAGCAGAGAGGAAGCAGCAGCAGCAGCAGCATGAATTTCGCACTTTCTGGCGACAACGTCGCATTTTTTTGCTATGCTGCTTTGATTGCGCACATACACAAATATGTGTGTGTATGTGAGTTTATTTTTTTATTATATTTATGTGTGTGGTGACGACTAGCCAGTCGTTCAACGGCCGTCGTAACTTTATTTGGTAGCGTGTGGGCCAGCGCGCGTGCGGTGTGAGACGCCGTCATGGCGCAGGTAGGTGGTGCTGAGCTTAGCCGCACCGCTTGTTGTTGCGCTAGTATTGGCGTGTGTGTAGGCGCTGGTTTTGTCGCATTCGCTAGCACTGGCTGTTTGGCTTCGTGTTGGCCATAGGACTGCATGCGCGTGTGTTTGTTGCCTGCCTGCCTATTGTACGTGTGATAAATGTGCGCGACAGTGGGTCATGCAGTGATTTATTTTTTGAGAGCAGAGTGTGTAAGGCTGTCTCTTATACACATCTAGATGTGTATAAGAGACAGCGCTAGCACTGGCTGTTTGGCTTCGTGTTGGCCATAGGACTGCATGCGCGTGTGTTTGTTGCCTGCCTGCCTATTGTACGTGTGATAAATGTGCGCGACAGTGGGTCATGCAGTGATTTATTTTTTGAGAGCAGAGTGTGTAAGGTGTTGGGAGTACATTTTTAATTTTTAGAATATATATAGTAATATATTTTTTAATAACTTTTTTTAATATATGTATACTTAATTTTTTTTTTTAATTTTAAATATTTATATATATTTTTTTTAATTTTAAATATATTTTTTATTTTTAAATTTTTTTAAGTTATTAGTGAATTTTTTTGAATATAAAAGAAATTATTTTTTGTGATAATAATGTCTTTACAGGCCTTTTTAGGCTATAAAATTCTTGAAACGATCCTTAGCAATTGGCATTATCCATTTATGAACCCAGCTACATGTTTGATGTCCTTTGTAAGAGTAATCCGATCGAATTTGAATTTTTTGACTACTTTCCTACATTTTAAGCTGAAGAAAAAACTGGCTTCAGCGCTAAGAAGCTGAAACTCAACATATTTTTCAATTATGCGCTTGAAGGGCTTGGTAGAGACTCTTTCAGGTCAGTCCAGAAGCTGGCGGTTAATTTTTTAAAATTTTCATGCATTTCTTCCTATGAATTACTTGAAAGAGTATGAAGAAGTCGTTGCATAATTATTACGTGAATGGATTCGGCAATTAGTAATCACATTTAATACATATCGTCGTCTAAACTGCAAAACAACGTATCATAAAAAACAAATCGAAAATCCTCGTCAGTTATAATAACCAATATATAACCAGTTTATACACAAAACTTAATCTTTTTTTTTCAATGCGAGTGCATGATAAAAAAACTGTAAAACGAAGAATCATCAAAAAAAAAAAACTCAAAAATCGTTATCAGACATAATAACCAATATATAACGAGTTTATAACTAAAACTCCAATTTTTTTTTCAATATGAGTAGTTTTCGTTATAATAGAAACATCTTCGCCTGTAAACTTATGAAAAGTGATGTTACGTTATTTTGCATTTTAAGTGACGATATACATATTCAATGTTTTTCACATTTCTTTGAAGTTGGAGAATTTTGGCAAGGCATTTTTGATCACTATAAAATCTCGATAAAATCGCATATTTACCAAGAAAAAACTTTGTTAAAAATCAATAAATTCTACTACAATTGATCTATTTTCGAATTCAACTTTTTTAAATTATTTTTTTATTTTTATTTCTTATTTAATTAGTATTAAGGTATGGTATCTCTATTTACTATTGAAAGGTGTTTTTGTTTATTACCTGTCTCTTATACACATCTAGATGTGTATAAGAGACAGATATAGTATACATACATACACTAAGCCTAGACACAAATAAATAAAAATGACATGATTCCGAAAAGATTTTTCGAAAACGATTTTCAAAGCGGTTTTTTTTATAAAACTCGATGAGATCAAAAAAAAATTAACGTTTACTAATTATTTTTTAATATTAATAATTCACTTGTTTCGATTTTTTTTTAATTTTTAAAATTTTTTAAGTTTCCAAAACTATTTCGAAATT